ATTACTAACAACGTAATATACCTTAATCACGGAGGAACATATCTTACAAACTGCTAATGCTAACCAAAGTGCTACAGAAAATATTTAATTAAGAAAAAATGAGATAATTTAACGGAGAAAAAAATCTTTACTGCAATAAATAGATAAAGATTATAGACCGCTTTACAAGAGATAAAGAAATAGGACTTATTGATAATAAAAAAGGTCATTTAGAAAATTTAAAGTATAAGTTAGCATTAAGATGCTACATCTGAGGGTGCAAACATTTTATAGGTTGTCAAAACACATAAACAAACTGAATATACTTTAAGTACATAATAAGTTTTTCAGAAACTTTTCTGCAGCTTAGTAAGTTTACTACATTGCTTAAACATTAGTTTTTATGCCCCTCTATATTACTCCTATACTCACTCGCTTCCCACACGATAATAATGTTGAGTAAATGAAGTGCGCATAACAAACCATAAACTATTCCAAAAATACCAAAAAACTTCCTCTGAAGTAAAATAATGAAGTTTATAATTAAATAAGCTTTTAATAAAATGTTACTCTGAAGCATTTTTAGTAATTACAGTACAATGCGTTTCCTTGTATTAATTAGCGCCTAGTCTTCGCTGCGTTAATGGGAAGGTCTCCATGGTGGCATTAGCTAGCAAGCGCGTCAAGATAAATCTGTAGATGTTGGCATAGTAAGTTGGGTGAATTTAACAACAAATAAATCATTTTTATCCTCGGAGAAAAGGGCGACCCACATATTATGGTTGACCGGCAGAAGCATGTCGCTCGGAGAGGATTTTAATAGCAGTGATGGAGAGGAGAACCTTGCCGAGCTCCCGCTGCAAGATGACGAGTCGGCTACAGTGCAGCGCCCACTCCTTCGCTAGAGATCTGGTAGTTTAGGTACGAGTTGAGTACGTTTTGAAGGTCGCGCAAGATTACCAGAGTGTGCTGTGCTGCCTGCATAACAGGTTTTTATGCCATACTCGATCAAAAGCTTTCTTAACATCGAGTAAGATGCAGTCGTCCTTAACTGTCCTCAAGCAATTTAGTATGATTGCTTCAGCTACCTTACCAACTGTCGATAAAAGGCTGATGGGTCGATACCTGCGATGCTCAGATACCAGTTGGGGTGTCTCTGGTAACATCACGACTACCTGTATTTTTCATCGCACGAAAATAAATCCGGAGCCATAACCAAGTTGACGAAAAAGTAGAGATGTTTTATTCCTCTAGAAATTGTTTTAACATCAGGTTATTTATGCGATCAATGCTAGGCGCCTTCCACCTCGGTAGCATTTGGAAATAAAATTTGACCTCATCTTGGGTAAACAACTTTAGGAGTTATCGACGGTTAAGGATGCTAGGAGGCGAGCGCTGGGCAACAAGATAATTTGCAAAGGGTTTCGCTTAATCCTCCGCGCATTTAACGCGGTTTCGCCATAGCGAGGTTTTTGCTCGCGATCTTCAACTTGCCTAAAAAAAAGAATTTCCACAAAAGGCAGCTTTAACACTTTTTTCAATTTGTTATAGAGATGTTCCATCAGCATTTTTTCTGAAGGCCTGTAAGGCGGTTTATTATCGCTTTGTCTTAAATACATTAAAAAGGCCATGGCCACTAAGATGAGGAAGGACGTTCCAATATTAGCGCCTTTTATCACTAAGGAAGGCGGTTAGGGCGGTATGTAACTTCAGCTGTCGTTCTTTTGTTGATGTAACCCTTTTTCACTGCACGCTTGAGGTCGACAACAGCACAATTCAGTAAGTAGTTGTTTCCAATAGCGTCGAGGACGATAGGTATGCTTTCTCGAGCAATTCAGTAAATATGCTCCAAACCGTATATGCCTGAAAGAAATCTTTATTATGTTTTCTTTTCGTCGCCAACTTCGATCAGGACAGGCAAATGATTCGGTAATATCCCCTTCAGCACCTCAAGTACCGTTGGAGGGTATAAGATGGCCCAGCATGTCCATTGTGCCCTACTTCCTTACTAAGTGTGTAGATGGTTGTGGCAGTAGGACCATCTAAAGCCTCAAGGAGGAAACCGTTCCGCTTTGCGACCTGGTTATTCCACGCAGGGAGTTTGTAATAAAATGTCTGTATCGAATAGTTGAAGAGTCATATACAGATAGAGCGTCAAGATTGAAAGTGGTGAGTGTTTTTAGGGAAGTTTACAAATTGCAAAGTAATGAACTCCTGTCTAGTCAAGTTAAGGGTAATTTCAACTGCTTCAATACCATGCCAGATCTGGAAGTGCAATTTCAGTAGTGTTGGATGCTTCGTTTAATCAGGTTAGCAACTTCCCGATGTTTATATAAAGCCGATGCTAGCAATACGGCTCAAAGTTGCAGTGATAATATGGCAGAATTGGAAGAGTTGCGCGTTTCGCTAACGACGGATATTTATTCTTCGCTTTGCATTAACTCCTGCAACTCATGCTCTTTGTACTGGAACGCCCTCCGCACTCTAGAACAGTAATAAAATATGGCCACCCGCTTGAGATTTTAGAAGTTATAATAAACGAATTCTAAGCCATTCACAATTTCGAGCGTGCTCAAATCGTTGTGGTGGATGTTCTTGCTGTTACTTAGTAGTAGAGTTCGCATAATCAGCGTGAGTAGCATTAGTTGCAATTCTGCTTGGTGCAGTTCTCGTTCTCAGGTGAAAAGCAAAAAAATAGTCGGGAAAATGGTAGAATCTTAAATGCCTATCGGATGTCCGGGTGAAATAGATGGATTGACTGTAGAAGGTCCACAACAGTTCGCACCTCTGTAGGGGGCCTGTCTCCCCCCGGATTGATGTACATAATGCTATAAATACCATTTAAAAACGTTTATTTAAAAGTAAACTTATTGGAATTGTAAAATATACTGTTTTTTGTTTTTTTGTAATCACCTTTTTCACTTTGAGTAGTCATACTGTAAAAATTTATTCCAACAATTTTGTTATTACCTTAAAAAAAATTATGTAATTTGGTTTAAGTGTTATTTAAGATATTTAATAATGTGATAGATTGATTTAATAAAAAATCTAGTTGCTGCATTTATTTAAGTAATTTATTAAATTTCGTTTGGCTCATTGAAGCCAACGTTCTGAAAATCTGCGATATAATACTATTAAGTAGACCACACCATCACTAAATTTATTTCATTTATTCTATTAACATTTTTAGGTCTTAGTAAAGTTGAAGGAAAGTTTATGTAATAATTATAACTAACTAAACACTTTTGCTGCATTTATTTTAATTATATTAACAAAGTTCTTTGAGCTTCTACGAGGTCAAAGTTAAGTTTCTGCAATCTTCCTCAAGTAAATAAACAATATTGCTACATTTATTTTTTAGTAAGTTCTTAAAGGCTCGTGGAGTTCAAGTTTGATAGTAGAGTATTAAATATGCACCGGGGCCTTTCTTTTTTAAGGTGGAAGGCGTTCTTTTTGTAATAATTTTATTAAAAGTATACTGGTCACCGGAAATAGAATATACAATATTAAAATATTCATACTAAATTGACTTTTTTCCAGTTTACTTAAGTTTACCAAACTTTTATATATTAATTTTATGTACAAATTTTTTTTTTTACTACATGTTGTATCCGAATCTCCTACGCGTAGTTCACTGGAATTAAACTAAAGCACCTATTAGCAAAATAGTTGGAGTAAAGCTAAGTGATTTATAAAATTAGCCTGCGCTTGCACCAGAGCTGGGGGAGGTCCGGTACCTACATAATAAATATATGTACTAGTAAATAACCCTATTCTAATACTGCACTTTATATACTACTTTATAAACTACTATTTAGAGTCCCATATATATGAGAAAAGGGTCAGGGCTTTCACATAGCCTATATAACATTAAAGCGCGTCCACAATAGTTTATTTTCAAAACTGAAGGCAACAAAATTCCAAAGGTATGGATCCTGTCTACATTCTTTTCACAGTTGCCTGCATATTGTACAGGTTCTTTTATTGGATACGATTGTATGCATCTCCCACATTTATTAAAAAACATTTTATAAATAAAGTTTTGACACCATCAACACCACACATAGTTAGTAATAACCAAAAATTTAATACTACTTTTTTATAAAAACTTAACCCCACTATATTCTACAAAGCTAAGTATTAAAAAAACTAAAGGCGTTTTAGTTATAAAAATTAAGCGCTCTCGTCTATAACAGTTATAATAATAATAGTAGACTAATATACCATTTTATAATTGAGCTCACTGGTAGCATAACTAGCTATTAGCTAAGAAACCCGGTGAAGTGCGTTTATGGTAACTTCCGAAATTCAGCTCTTTCTGAGGATTTACATGTTCTGCGGAGGGCTGCAGGATCTTAACTGGGTCAAGTCAAAAGACATGCTCTTAAAACCGGCAAAAGATGTCTGTGTCTCAAGCCCTTTGGTAGGTGTTAGATTCCCTATGTCTTTTCGCCCATGTTCCGTTAGTAGTATATCGCCTAGTGCCTTCATGTTAACTAATCAGACTCATGTAGCTATTAAGCTGGCTTTTGCTGCTTTAAATCATGTCTAGTAAACAGCTTAAATTAACCCCAAGCTGGACTAAATAGAAACTTGCGCTTTGTATACTGGCACTGTCTTACGAAGCAATTTCTTCTTAGGCGCTGTCTGGTAAGAGCTTGGGTAATCTGGAGTGAAATCTAGAGAATGCAAGCTGAGCGCTATGTTTGCCTTTTAGTCTTGTTAGTAAATACGTCTGAAAGCAAAGGTCATGCCTGAGCCATAGCATGGGTCATGAAAAAAAGCATTATACCCCGTTCCTGGGCCGCTAGTGCAGTGGACTTTCTGGCTGCCTAGTGGCCGTCTGCTGGCTGGTATTACTCATATACTATCGGTTGATGGGCAGGCTGATGGCATACGGGATCCTGCTGCACAAGTGTTGGTTGACGCTCTCCGCTGGCGGAGTAGCTGCCCACTGGCGGGAAGCGCTAAAAACAATGTTGTTTACCACTATCCCCCTTGATCCTTATAATATATATTGTATGATTAGATCTTTCAAATTTAATCAACTACAGTTTATATTGTAAAAACAAAGTCTATGGGTTTTTTTTAATTTATAAATTTTTTTACACTATTTCTAATTTTTCTTATAAGGTAACTATATCTCAACACTTTTAAACCGGTTATGGAGAGAGAAGGAAATTCGAGTGCTGATTTTAGGTTTAGATAATGCCGGGAAAACCACTTTTTTGTATAGGTATTTATTTTTTTAATTTATTAAAAGCTCAAATTATAATAATTTTTTTTATTAAGAAAAATTGATTAGACATTTAATAAACAGGTTAAACCTGGGCGAAGTCGTTTCCACTTTTCCTAGTAAATATATATAATGGAAATTTATAAGCTACTTGAGATTTTATTTTCAGAAGAGGATTTTATCAAGACATTTTAAACTTTGCAGTGCTGAATTTTATAAGTACATATAGGGACACTAAAAAAAAGATTATGATTTTTCAGTTCGTTGCTAGCTTTGATTTTTAAAAACTTTAATGAAAATTTTTAGTAGTCAAACTTATATTAGTATTGATAGTAATTATAGTAACAACAACGTAATAATAATTGAGTTTGCTTAAAACTTGTTTTCTGATTCCAATTAAGCGTGGACTTTACAATCTTAAAAAATCTGGTTAATCTCCAAATTAAGTTAGTTTTTTTAATTTTTTTTTAATCTTAGTTATAAACAGATTGAGTTTCACTTGCTTCAGCCTAAATACTTAAAGCACTCTAAAAATAAGAATTATTAAAATAAATTATTTTATATAAGAAAATTAGGTTTTTTTTATTTCTTACGCTCTATAGTAGATTCGGGAAATTGTGTTTGTGTTTTTTTAACTTTAACTTTACTTTAATTTGCCAAGCATTTCCAATTCTAATTATTATTAAAGAAGAAGAAGGAGGGAAGTATTAAATTAAATTTAAAATTGATTTAATATGACACAGCATTGTTTTAAAAAGTTACTAGCGAAGAATAAAGAGGTGTACGAGAAATTATAATTATTATTTTTCTAAGAAAGGATGCTTAGCCGCATATAAAAGTTAGGAAAATAAGAAATTCCATTTTTTTTATAGTATCAACAGCTTTCTTGCTACTCACTAGGTATTAATTAAAATTGCAATTCCCTCAGGTCTAGACTTAACTCTTTTTCTCTCATGATATTTACACTGGTAAATTTGCTATAAACATATAATTAAATTCAGATTTTCTTTCAAGAAAACTTGTGTACTTTGTACATTTTGAACGAACTTTCAATTTATAGTTGTTAGAAACATTTCTTATTAAACTTGTTTTCCTTGGCATGTTGAGTTTATAAAATAGAAACTGAGTTCCATTTTTAAAATAAATCTTTTTTTTTGGTTTTCATTTCTTTTTTTGCTTTTCCTATTACATTTAAAGTGAGTGGTTTTTAAAGTTTGCTTCTATTAATATTTCTTTCCCAAGGTACTTTTTATATTTTATGATTAACTTAAACTTCAGCTATCGGATTTAATATGGAGGTTGTAAAGCACAAAGGTATAAAGTTTCGAGTTTGGGATTTAGGAGGTAATAATCAGTTTAAATTATATTTAAATTTTATAAGTGATAATAATAAAATCCTGAGCACATAGGGCAAGAAGATATTAGGTCGTACTGGAAATGTTATTATGCTAACACTGATGCCATTATTTATGTAAATCACTATATTTACTTTAAAGATGATTTAATTTATATTATTTGTTCGTTTTACTTTTTAGATTATTGATTCTACAGACAAAGAGCGAATTGACATCGCTAAAGAAGAACTAAATACTATTATAAACGAGGAGCAACTGAAAACAGCAGTCTTGTTAGTTTTGGCAAATAAGCAGGTAGAGACAAAGTTTTGTCTTCCTTTTTTATTTTTTTTCATTTTATTGTTTTCTTTATCCACAGTATTTTATTATAACTCGCTCTTCAGGAGAGCGCACATAAGTAAATACTTAACTTCACTAACGAGAAGCAAATCTTAGTTAAATTCTAAATTCTTAACTTTTTTTCCAGCGTTAAGATTAGTTAAGTAACTGGTTATAAGAAAAGGAGATAAAAAAAGCGAGTATAGGAAAGCGACGATATATTATATGCGGAAGGCAAATTTTACAAAAAAGTATACCTTACCAAATTTTGAAAGTGTAAAAAATTTAATTATTTTTCTTACTTACGTTGTAAGAATTTATAGAGTGCGCACTGTTTGGTTTGAAATTTATTGTCTGCTTTTTTCGCTAGGAAAAACTTACGACCCTACAATTATTTTACAAGCATTTGGTCCTGTGATTTGAGGATTGTAAGAAGGCCTTATAGGCTTGCTTGGTTCACCTAAGAACGTTATATATTAAATTACAACAAAGTTTCCGAACTTTGTAACGGTTATACCGCAATAATAGTTTTTCTCGTACCCTTACCGACCCTATATTTCGCGAGTGTAGACTTAGGAGGGTTATTTACTCCTGTTTACATTTACAAGTTCGCTGAATAAAACTAAAGCTGTTCGACGCTTTCTTTGCGCTGTAGTAACTCAGGGTCATGTCAATGTCTACTTACTACTATCTATACCTTGAAATTTTGTCTATATGGGAAAGCCTGAAACATAGCTTGTAGTCAATAACTAATTTTCCACAGAAAGTTTAACTTTTTTTTTCAAGAAAAGTTTAAGTTTTAAAAGAGGCCATTTAGTAGTTCTCCAGATCTAGTAAAATGAATTTTAATTTTCCTCTTAGTTTTTGAGAAGTTCTTTTCTAATTGGCAATTTATTTTAGCTCAATAGTTTACTATTAAACGACAGTAATAAGCTTTTATACTTTGCTAAAACAGTTAAAAAAAAATATTTACCCAACGCTTGCTACTAAATACTCCTTTTTCGGCCGCTACTAAACGGGCTCTATTAGGATTCTACCTTTGCAAATATTTTAGTCAACTATCTAAAAGCTACGATCGATTATACAAGAGAACGGTAGAAAAGTATAATTTTTAAAATTTTTTATTAATTTCATTTAACCTGTAAACGGTTTTAAGCATCTCGTTTTACCCCTAACATCCGTATATTTGAGTTAGATATAAAAGCAAGGATTTCTAAAAGTGAACTTTTGTATAGCTCTAGCACTGGTTTAAAATCTAGACCAAATCATACCATCATAAAAAATAACTTTTTAATAGTAAAATAATTACTATCGCAAATTTTTTTTTAATATTAAGACATACTCTCTGACTAGTAGCGCTAGATTGTTTTTATTTTTTTTAATTAAAAAAAAGATTTATTAGGTGTTGATCGGAACTTAAATATAAATAAAAATATAGAGAAAAAGATATGGCGAGCATTTTTTAAATTTTTTGTTTACTTAACTCATCAATCTTATTAATATAACTTATGTTGAACTTTTTTCCCACCCAACTTTTATTCATAAAAAAAATTTACTTTATAGGATGGTTTAAGCTGATAATTAATTAATTGTATGAACTTATGATAATTTTTAAGTTATAACTGTGTAACATGATTTATTTATTTATATAATGTATTTAGGATAAAGCCGAGCCTATGAGTGAATCGGAAATTACTGAAAATTTTAACCTTTGCGAATTAAAATCGCGTAATACTTTATAAGAAGCTTTTAACACGTTATGCATTTCCGTTATTTTGCAAGCGTTAGTAAGAATATAAAATATAAAAATTAACTTTGATTAAACCTTTTATCCACGAAATGCCCACCGGCCAGTACTTTTTTCTTTGTATTCCAAAAAATAATTTTTTGACTCGTAATTTTTTTTTTTTTTTAGCAAATCGAATTATATTACAAGCAAAGTTATAAAGAAGCTCTTAGAGATAATTAATTTAAACATCTTGTACTAAAGTTGTAAATTTTCTTGAATACTAAAGTTTTAATAATGCGTTAAAAGCGGAAATAAAAAATATTACCTTATAAAAATTTTTTCAAGTAGAATTAAAATAAATTTTAATTCACTTTTAAGTTAATAAATTCTTTACTATTTTAGGGACATGGACTATTTTTAACATAAGCGCTCTTACGGGTAAAGGTGTGGAAGATGCCATGGACTGGTAACTATTTTTTTAATGTTTGTATATAGCTGGATTCTTAATTGTTTATTATTTGTTTTTGTTTTAATTCTTATAATACTCTTGACTGTATGCAAGTTTTCTAGCCGAGAAATAGGGAGCAATAAAGAGTATTACTGAGACCGGCAGGTTAAGTAAATTTTCAAAAAAACTGAGGCATTACTACACGCAATAAGGTAGCCACGACACTACGACTACGAGAGGGGAAGAATTCATTTTATTTGTTACAAGAAAAGAACTTTTTTATATAGTAACAAACAAAAAGCTTGGGCAAATTAGCACGTGCAAGTAATGTTATTTGAGCTAAGGCGTCACTGCACACATTGATTTGTAATGTGTCGTGGCCAAAGTTTAAAAAGTTTTTTTTATAGCTAAGCGATCCATAAAATTGGTAGTGATTGGCATGCCTAAGTTAAATCTTAAACAAGCTAAAGTGGCAACGACACTGCGATGGCGATAAAAAAGATTTCGTTTAACATGAAACATGTTTTTTTTAAAAGCTATGCGCTCTACAAAGTTTATTGAGATTGGCAATCTTAAGTAAAATTCTTTCGTTCAACTGAAATAAGCAAAGGCACTATTGCTATTATAGAAAAGAATATATTATAAGTTTTACTTTTAAAAAGTCTTTTTTATTAATAGTTAAGCTGAAATCCATTTATATAATTTAAAGGCGGGCTAAGGCACGAAGGCACTCACCAAGGTAGCCAGTGCACCGCAATTTATAAAGAAATTTTATATTAGATTTTACAGTTAGAAAGTTTTCTATTTCAATTTAGCGACTATTACTCAAAAAAACGCAAAAGTGGTCTGCAAGCTTAGGCATAGAAAATACTATAAATATCCTATTTTGCAAATTTGAACAGTTTTACAATCTTTTAGTTATGTTTTTGCTATGTGACTATAAGACAAAAAGGTATTAAAACTTTGCAATTAATAACTTTTATATATTTTTTTACTTTCTACTTTGTAGCTTTTTACTTTAATTATTCAAGTTAGCATAATACTATAATTTTTTATAGGTTTCCTATTTTTTATACTCCTTTTAAGACATTAAAAAGTTTTTATATATATCTTTGATCAAACTCTAACTTTTTTTTTTACTTCTCTTGTTAACCTTTAATTTTTTTATAGGTTGGCGGATAAAATTATGAAATAAGAAATATTAGGATGTAATAAAAAAGATAGGGAACAAATTGAATGGATAATAAAAAATCTTATTAAGTATTTTTAACGGTAATATTAGCGGTACTTTAAAATAATTAATGAAAGAATTCGAGTGTTAGCTCTAAACTTTAGTTTGAATCTTTTTGCAAAATTTGTTGAAAGTATTTTTAAGTTAATTGCAAAAAGAATTCGTGCGTTTCAAAGTCATCCAGAAATACTCAGAGGAATTAACAAGGCAGTTATTATACTAAAAAGAAATTAATTTCGTGCTCAGTTGAAGAAATACATAAAATAAGGCAAAATAAATAGTAAATTGCACATTTTATCTACACCTTTTTATAAAGATTTTTAAAAATTGCTTTTAAATTCAAAGCATTTATGTAATAACTACAAAATGGAAGTGTTTTTTAGAATTTAAGCCAACTGCAAAAAAATAATTTGCCCATTGCATCTGCTTTACATACAAAAGCAGTTTTATACTAACTACTTTAAGATGAATTTTTCACTAAGAGAAAGCTATTAAAAATTTACTACTTTATTATAAAAATTATATTTATGGAAAACTTTACAAAATTTTAAGCTGAGCGCAAAAAAAGTTCAAATATTTCCTTACGATTAATCGACAAGCATTTATTTTAGTAAAAAAATTGCTTTAAGATGAACTTCCTATTCCGTAGAAAATTATTAAAAATAAGCCAAGTGTAAATAGAAATTCCCACTTTAATTACATTCTAACTTGGAGCCCTTGTTTAGGCAAAGCGTTACAGAACTGCAGCCAAGTTTTGACAAAGATTTTCAGTCTTTTATAATTAATTTTGGAAGGATTCATTTTACTTGCTGCGTTAATGATAAATTTAATGCTTAAAATAAGTAATATAGACTAAGCATTGTATAAACAAAAATCTCACATTGCACAAAGATTGTATATAAGCAGTTATTTTACTCACTGCTTTAAAATAATTTCTAGCTTACAGAAAACAATTGAAAATGAGTTAACTTTTAAAGAGAATCCGCTTACTTTATAATTAAAATTTAAGGTAGTTACTACACAATGATTTCTTGCTTAGAGATAGCATTAAAAAAAAATTAAGTTTTGTGTAAAGAGACTTTCGCAGGATTATATAATTTAAATTTAGTGTAAAGAGAAATTCGCACATTTCACTACTTTCAATTTTTATAGCAGATAATTAAATAAATACTTTGAGAAGAACGTTTTAATTACATATAATATATGAATTAAGTTTAGTTAGAGAAAATCACACTTTTCAAAACATTAAATTTTTATAGCAGTTTCGTTACTAATTACTTAACGGTGACCATGGTGCTTAGAAATTTTAAAAGATTGCATAATTGGTATAAAATTCTGTAATTTTTAGATTTGGTTAGTCAATTTAGTAAACAGCAGATAAAATTACTTATCATAAACTTTTCATCTGCTCGAAGAATGCTATGACTATTAAAAAAACTTATTCATACATATAAACTGATAATGATCAGAATTATATAAAGTGTGTTACCCATTCAAAAATTCCAGTACTTTTTTGGGATTCCCATTAAAAAAATGTCTACCTCCTTCCTAAAAGTAATTTTATATTTAAGTTAATCAGTACCTAATTTTCTCTGTTATAAAGAGATTTATAGCTTTGAAAATACTTGACGTATTAATTATTACCAGAATAAATAACTACGATTTAAATATTTACATAGCTTTAAAAGCTTTAAATTTTAAAATTGTTCCTATTTTAATTGATATTTGAAAAGGAGAGAAATATTACATATAAAAATAATCTATTTTATTATTATTTGTTATCTTGGAAAAAATATATACAAGTTTATTTATTCTAAAAAAATTAAATTTGAAAATTTTATTTTTGATTCCATCTTGCAAACAATAAAGAAGAAGATAAAGCCGTTTGTTTGGCCAGCATTTTAAGGCCATCTTCATCTTCGAATCTTCCCCACGCCGATCTTTGAAATTCAGCTTCCAAGTAAGCGAGTTCCAGTACCTTATAAATTGAATTTTTTATAAAATTATAAATAAAATTTAATAACACAAAAATTTAAACTAAAAATATTATATCAAAACGTTGAAAACTAAATTAAATCATATTAAACAGTACGTAAATTAAAAATTATTAATTTAATAAAAAGTTTATTAATAGATTAATAGTATATAAAGGCAATCATAGTGAAGAAAGCTGAACAAATAAATAATAACAAAGTAAAAGTATTTTTAAAGGGATATTAAAAATAATTATTCTACAATCAAAATAAAAATAGCTACATTTATTACAAAAAATTGAACTTCAAATTATAGGTAAAGAAAAAAAATATAAAATTTAAGTAAAATTAATAATAATTATGATATATATGCTCATATTCTAATAACAAATTTATTATAACATTTACTATTGAAAAATAATTTAAATTTTAATTGAAACAATAAAGTATTTTATGTGCCTTTCTTTCCCCCCCACCCCCTCCTTTTTTTTTTAAATTTCTATAATAAAGTTGATATAAACAAATGAAAACCTTCTCAGAGGATAGAAATCGAGAAAACCCAGCAAAACTCAATACAAACGAGTGCGTAATTCTGACGCTTTCCTCAAAGCCCGTAAAACTCCTAATAAACATTTAAAAAAGTTCCTTAAAATTAATTTTATTTTAATATTTTATAAATTTTATAATCTATTTTTGTTTACTGAATTTATTTTAACCTATAAAAATCTATATATACTTTTAACTTTTCATTTTAATTGTATTTGTTTTATTAAATAGTGCATACGACAGTTCGCCTACTTATTAAATTAAACTATATGCTTGATGTTTTACTCACAAATTTAAACAAAGTTTTTTTTATAAAAATTTTTTACGAATACGCTGCAAAAGCACATTTTATAAAAAAATTATAGTTTAAAGCAGTTTTCTTCATTTAACGCTGGTTTTTTTTATCCTTACAAAGACTACACAAAACTACTTAAAACTACTTATTTTCACTTAACTTACTTTTCTTAGTAACCAAAATTACTAAGATGAAAAATTACAATAATACTCTAAAAAGAGCAAAGAACATAGAATGACCCTCTTCATTTTATGAAATCTTTAAATAAATAAATATAATTGCTGTTGAGGTGCTTTACGATGCCTTAGGAAAACCAAAAAACCTATATTGAAGCCTATTTAAGTAAAATGTGATGAAATTAAAAATAGCTAAGGAGCAGCTGCTAATGCCCTTTACGTTGTAAGAAATATAAAGAAAAAATAATAATAAAACATAAATAACTTGCAGTGCAGATCAGTAAGTTTAATAATACCACTTAACCGAAAGGTGCTCATAATTATTTTAATTTTTCCAAATATGTTTTAAATTCTATAAAATTAGATTTTGGAATTAATAAACTTAATAGAATTTTTAAGTAATTTACTTCTTATAAGAATCTTCCTTTCATATATTTGAGCTAACAAGTAAAAATTTTACTTCACCATACTTAAAAAACTTATTTAAATTTTTAGAAGATTAATAATTTTAATTTCTGCTATGGGTTTAACTATTTTATTTTTAAGTTTTAAGCTGAAGAATTACTTTCCATTTATATTTACAGTTATGAATTTAACGAAATTGACAAGTTCGGCTCAGTTTGCTAAATGGCTTATGAAGATTATTTAATAGTGTTTGCTTATTAAAATAATTAAAAGCTTATATAAGTATGTTATAGAAATTTGTAATACATTAAAATTAAATTTACAGTTATAAGTAAATTCATCAAAAAAAATATTTACCAGTTATTAAGATTATTTAAAAATGATTCGGCTTTACTAAATGCAGTTGGATGGTGCTTATTTAAAATTAAGTCGTTCGTATAATTTAATTGAAGATTTAAATTTTCTTCAAACCTAATTAAAAAAATAAACTGAAATTAAAATTTACTATAATTAAAAATAAACTTGCATTACAATCTGAAAGAGAAATGAATTTGAATAGGTATGAATTATAAGAATTTTACATAATTATTATAACTTAACAAAAAAAAATGATAAGTATAATTGTAGAATCTCTAATAAATAGAAAATAGCATTACATACTAATAATATTAAAAGTAATAGTAATAATAATAACAATAAACTTTTGAGCAAAAATTACCAACGTACTACCGGTTTCCAGCGTTGAATTTGAATGTTATATAATTTTTTATTATGACAATTAAAAAAGCAAAGAGTGTCATTTTCCAAATAATTTAAAAGTTTTAATATTCTTTGCTCTGAGACTATGGGATTTTCCAAAGCAGTAAAAGCTAAACTAGTCTGCGCAAAAGTACGCCTTAGATTTTAAAAATTCCAAGATATTTATTATATTTTATATATCAAAAAGTTTAAAGTTGCTAAAAAATAAATATTAATAGGAAAATAAAAGTTGAGGTAAAGCTCATCATAGGCATAGCAATAGGCTTATTGTAAAATTTGAGTAAAAGTACAGTAAACCATACTTTTAAAAACTATAATAATTATTTATAATTAATATCTTAAAAGTTTCAAGTTTCTGAGAGATTAATACTTATAGTAATAAAATAAATTTAAGTAAAGCTTTCCATATTCATAGTACTGGGTTTAATGAAATGTTTTTGAGAGTCCCACTCATAAGCAATGGAATATGCTACTTGCTCATCAGGAACAGATAAACTTTTATTTCTGAAAGTTTTAATGTTCTGTCCATCTAATAATATATCGTAACTTTGTATGCTCCCATCTATAGGGGAAGTTTTTCTTTTAACAGTAACTTCTTTGTAAAATTTTTTTTTTAGCTCTAAAAGTTAGTAAAGAAAGAAATTAAAATAAAGATTTATAAAATATTATAAAAACCTGTAACATAACAACATTTAAAATTAAAAGCACGAAAGTGCCTTACTAAGTTCACCATGAAATTAAAACTTAAGATTAAAAACTGTTATATAAACAAAAAAAAGGTGTTTACAAAATTTCTACGGAGCTTGCAGAAAGGTTACATGCACGGGTCACGCTAATGTTGTAGTTTTTTAGTTCACAGTTTCTAGTATTAAAATGTCAAACTTTTGTAAAACTTTTTCTGTTTTATAGGTAAGTAAATATACCAGAAAGCACGACACAATGAGAATTTCTTATATCTTCAAAAAGGGTAAATGCAAGAATTTCGTTTTTTATTCAGCTAGTAATTTTATATAATTCTTTAGTTCATTATTAGGGGTAGCCTTTAACGTTATATATTTATTTTACAAAAAATTTTTGAACTCTTTTTTAATTACGTTTTTAGTGATGTTAGTTAAGCGAATTGGCAATTTTTTTTTTAAATTTTAGTTTTCATAACTTATAAATAGCGAATAAAAATACTCCTGAGGCGCTATTTTGCTTTAAAAAATATTTAGTTTTGGGAGACATAATTTTTGGTTAGTACCTTTCTCTTTTTTTTCTTTTATGTTTATTTGCAGTGACGCTATCTATTTTTCTAGAGATTTTTCTTACTGGATAATTATTGTGGTGCTTTAAGTTAATTGATTAATTTAAATATTTTAATTAAATTATAATTTCTAATTTGCATCGTAAGCTATACCATGTTTTCCTGTTCATAAAGAACTTTTTTTTTGAAAAAAGGAGGTGAAGAGATAGTGTGTATAGTTTATTACCGCTAAATTATTTTGAGAATTAAAGTTTAATAAAGACGGATCGACTTCCCGTAGGCTATAAGAGAACTTCACTACACTCCTAGTTGTAGAACGCAACTCCATCACTTGTACTTGAAATTAGCAATGTTACTAGGACTCTTTTTTAGTGGCCATTTATTAATCAATTTGCATCCAAATAATACAGTTTAAGTATTTGATAAAGGCCCGGAGCATTAAATGGTAGGAGAAAAGTAAAGTTCACAAAAACAGCTGACTCGCGATCTATTTCTTGAGAGGCTTAAACTATCATGAGATTCTTCCCACGCTAATAAAATCCAATTTACTTATGTAATCTTTTCTTTATTGCTGCATACAGAAATAAAGATAAAACATAAATAGCACTAGTATAGCAAATTATATCAAAATTTTATACAGTTTTGTAGTCGTTTAAAGCAATAATTCCAGTTTTTAGTTAAAACATTTAAAATTGCCTCTAAAAAGGTATTGACCACTTCCAGAAATGTATCCTTAGACCGCTCCAAACTTAATTTTTATGAACGAAAAATAATTGATAGTACTTAGTACCCTTAAAATTTAACTGTCTGCCAAGCTCTATATAAGCCCCCAGTAACTTGCGAAAGAATCATCGTTTCGTTTGATTTTTGAAAATGCATTAAATTTAATAAAAAAAAAACGGTCGTATTGTGGCATTAACTGTATTTCGACCTTGTAAACATCACAGAAAATTGTAAGTTCTCTGGAATCTATTCATCTTGGATAAACAAACAGGATATCGACGTTAATTTGTGGGTTTATAGATTTATAGATATGAATTCGTGTGTGTCCCACTCACGACGCCAATAAAGTCTTTTCGCTTCTTTTTTAGTTAACCTAGAACAAACGATTAACGCAAACGCTTTTTATTATGTTAAGAGAAGCTACAGTACTCAATTCCTTGTGGTAGTTTTAATTATTTTAGTCAAGTCTTCGAGACTAAAATCGTCTCACTCTCGCAAAAGTCGTAAGTTGGTACTTCCAAATCAGTGATCGCACGGTTCGATACAAAGTGACTGTGGTCCTCGATAACTATGTCCTAAAACATAATATTAAAGGATGCAGGACAAATTAAAAAGGGTGAAGCAAAAAGGTTTTTTCATCTTTAAAAGCAGAATATAAATTTGTAAAACAAAGTTTTAACAGATGTTACGCGTAAAGTTCGCGACTCAGTTCATTAACAAGACTTACTCGCTAACTTCTAGAACATTGCGACTAAATACGTGCATATCTTTTTCATAAACCATTAAGACTAAACAAAACTAAATATATGTTACTTTTGGCCTTAATATCTTTTGTTGTTAATGCTTTCCATGCAGGTTGATGCCTAGAGACCTTGAACCAACGCCAATTATATTTCATAAGATCGCAGTGCTCTTTTACCCCCTACTTATTGGGATGGTCGTACCATTTTAGCATCCTAGATCCTGTTTTATAGTATTTGTACTTCTTGTTTGTTTATATTGATATCCATATATGATTAATAGACTTATTACATGCCTTTAAGGTTGTGTTAACTCGCTATCATTACATTGTTGAGTAAGCAAGCTGAAATTAGAACATAAATAGAAACAAAAAAACCTATCAGATATTAAAGAAAAAGCAAGGAACTGTGAAAATTAGATAATTTTTTTTAAGAATTTTGTATACTCTAGGGATAGGCGTTACTACCTAACCTATAAGCATGCAGTTAAACTAGAACATGTTATTGTAGAAACCAGATAAGTCTAGGACATAATAAAATTTTGATAAATAAAAAAAAGGAAGAACATTATCTTATATTCATTAAAATGCATTTTTTTTATAAAAAGATTTATTTTTTAAACAAACGAGCTAAGTATGTCGGCGAGCCCTATAACGGGAAAGAACCAAAATAGGAAAATAGCAGTCACATATAAGCCGGACGGAGCATTCAAAGAAATTATAGTAGTAAACTAGCTTTATAATGTTCAAGGAGCTTTACGAAAACACCAAAAGCCTTACCGCTCACTTGTTTAAGCCTTCTTCAAGCACCATTAACCCTTTAACTATCATATCTTCAGAGAGCAAGATGGGTGCCTAATCTTTATTTTTAAAACATCTAGACAACTCTTTATATAAGTTGAAGCAATTCTATTTTTTAATGTTTGTTTTCAACATATTTTTTTTATTATAGTTTTAAAAAGCTAAGTCACTTTAGTTTAAATATCATTTTTCTAGTATGATTGTCAAATAAAATCTCAACAAATATGAGAAACTTACATATGAATTATCATGCACGTTCAGACTCTAAAGGCTTAGAACTATATTATAATAATTTGAAGGATTCACTAAATGAAGTTTATGTAGAGCTAAGAAAAGATTTTTTTTCACAAGATTTAAAAGAAGAAGGTTTGAGTGTATATTTTTTCGAATACAATTTAAAATTACTATTTGACTTATAGATCTAAATTCCCTCGAGCAATTAATAGTAGTTAAATTTTAATTTAAAGTTAGTTTATTAACGTTTTTTATTGAGTTTCGACTTTAGTTTATGAGTCAACTACCTATTCTATAGAATAGATTGTGTGTAAGTAAGTGCACTAATATGTTTAGATTGACTTTATGAATTTGTATAAGAGGTAACAGAAGTTCGAGCTCCTTGGGACGATTTTGCCAACAAAGAAATTATCCGTTCGCGAATTAAAAACTTAAGTTTGGTAACATAAAGTTATAAGTTAGTACCTGAAGGGTTTATTTTCTTACTGGTTTCAGTTAATTTTTATTGTTTACGTATACTTCTTTAAGTTAAATCTTAGTTTCAGTCATGTTTGTTTAGCACTTTAGAAGTTGTAAGTCCCTTATATTTACGCCTGTATTTGTTAACGTCAGTTTTTTACTTTTTGTCTCTCGTGTTTATTTTAAAATTATTATAGTTTATAATTGGTTTTTATTAGTTTTTAAGTTCTTTCAGAATTTTCTTTATCGACAATTATTGTTTAATTTTTCCTATTTTATTGTTTATAAAAAGAACCCTTGAACAATATTTTAAGTCATTCTAAATATAACTTTCCAGAATGAAAGAACTTTTTTAACGCCGCCTCCTAAAGACATTTTCTTTAATTTAGAAGAAGGTAAAAGTGATTATTACACATTTTTATTTTATTTTCTATTAAGAATTTTAAAGAATTTTCAAAGATCCGCAGTAAAAATTGTACGAACTTAGTAAAATAAAGTTAGTTCGGAATGGCGCATTTCTTCCAGTAGACGTGCAGTTTACTTTTTATTAAAAAAAACAGAAATAATTATAATTTTAAGTAAACTTCTATTATATAATAAAATATTATACACTCTTTTCCTACAAGAAAAACCATTCTTTACAACTTTTGTGGGCCCATAATTACTTTAGCCGTCTCTTCTCTTTTCTTATGTTTAAATTCAAATTACTACTATTATATATTGAAAAACTCCTTTACTATAACTTTTTTGTTCTGTTCTCCTGCATTTAATTTCTTTTTGTAGAGTTTTTTTCATTAAAAATACGTTATTGTTACTTTTAAATAATAGTGTCTCCTTTCCATTTTATTAAAAAATTGTGAATACGTTTATAATTTTTCTAAGTTTATACGTGTTAAAAATTTTCGGTTTAATTTTTTTTATTTTTCTTTGTACTAATGAAAGTTTACTTTCTATGTTTGTCTCCTTTAAATTTCATAATGTAAATCAGAAGCCAATATTCGTAAGGCTAAATTATTATTGAAGGAAGATGAACAGCTCCGCAGAGTTCGATATCGTCTTGTTCCTTCTAAAATCAGCGAGGAAAACTTTTGGAGAAACTATTTCTATAGAGTTGATCTCATCTTGCAAGAAAATCTTCCAGCAAAAGTCTCTTTTAGAGCTTTTGATTAATTCAAATTGTTTTATAATAATTCTAAAATTGTTTAAAAGTTTTGCATTCATAAAACTACTTTTTACGATATTTTTTTTACGCGATATACCGATTTTGTTTAAATCTTTTATAAGAAAATTCAATTCTTTGCTTTTTTTTTAGAATTACACTTTTCTTTCTTTTTATAGTTATGTCACTATATGTCTTATTATTTTTTCTTTGAAGGTAAAAAATTCTGAAGGTGACCTAAATTCTCTTGGTAAAGTAGCTGTGGAGAATTTCCAAACAAAACATAATTCTTCTCAAGACGAAGCCCGTACGGTTTAATTAAAAGCAGTTTTTGTAGAGCCACACTCACGTGCATTGCATAAATTTATCACGTGCTTTTTAAATTAAACTTTTTTTTTTTAGAGATGCACGGATCCTCCTTCAACAATTCGAACATTGAAAAAGATGAATTAGACGAAGAGTTGGATCGTATTAGTGTTCCTGACGATAGTCTTAACGGTTTATTATTTTATATTCGTTCTGTTTCCTCCGCTCTATCTACTTGTGCATTTTCTAAAAATTACTGAAAGCAACTCTGTAAGTTTTGCTATAAGTTTGCGTTTTCGCTTAATTAAGATTTTGTATGTTAGAAATACTACTTATATATGCAGTTAGTAAGAGATTTATATTTACGATAATGTAGACGATTTGCTTGACGACCTGAACGGATTTTGATTTTGAATTGGACTAAAACTAGTTTTTAGTTGTATAATAAAATTTTATTATATATATATATATATGTAATAAAGTATATCAGTAAAACCGAAAGGTTTAATAACCGTAAGACTAGAAAAGATAATAGAAGATAACTACACTAAAGTAATCCTTTTTTAAAAACGCTAAAACTAAAAAAAAATTTATTACAAGTAATTTGAAGATTAACACTTCAGTGCCCGATTTTTCACTTGGTTGATCTTATGCGACATTTTTGGGAAATACTTATTTCTCTGGTGGGACACTGAGATCTTTGCTCCTTTTCTTTTTCTCCGTCAGTGCATGAGGCTAGGTATGGTAGCGACGCCATATACTCCTGGTACGGGTAATTTTCTGCGGTCACCTTCCCTCTTATGATACGTTGTGCATACGGTTTTCTACTGTTGTGAATAGAAGGTCATCGAAAAACTTTGCTTTGGTTCATAAATCTTTCTGATATTAGTAAAATGTAGGCCTAGAAAGTAGGAATGGATCTCTGTCAACTTATCAATAATTATTTATTACATCACGGGCCCAGCTCTTCTCGTTATTGTAGACTTTCAAGTCATTCATATAGATAATGGCTATCACTACTGACATTTCCCGGCAAATTAATAAATAGGCAAGGTTCGTTTTTCATCCCTTTAAGCCTAATTCACCTAGCTTGTGCACTCTATATTTAAGCCATATTAATCCGATTTTTATTTTATGATGTACATGGCCTCTACAAGTTTAACGCTTTTATCTACACCCATAAAGGGTGCATTGGAAAAAACCACAAGAACTTTAAGGATATAACTAGTTCATAGTATGAAAATATGCAATTTTTTCATATCAAAATATAATCGTTGGTAGTTCAATTGATGTGCCTAGGCTCCGACAAATTTGATCGCTTCTTTAGAGATTAAGGGGCAAGTTGTCTCCACTCCATCATTTAAATTTGGGTACCCGGTCGCACAACCCGGCTTCTGAGCTTCCGTCCAGCTTTATTAAAGGTTCCTATGGGATAGTTTAAGAGTGGTACCTTCCGGTATCTTGGTAACTTCCAAAGTACAAAACTGATCCAGACTTTAAGCCTCATAGCCTAAAAGCCTTCCATCCCTCGGAGGTCGTAGCTTCCGGTGTATTCTTGGTCAATGATCGATAGGACTTTGCCTTCTTTTGCATCTCTTTACCGTCTGGTATTTCTCCGGTGTATTCGTCGTCAGATACATCAGTATGTATAGCCTTTCCATCTACAACTTGAATATCCTGCATCGTGCCCGAAAACCACTTTGGTTTCCTTCTTTTGTTAGAAAACCATGATGTACATTGACCCTATAATCGATCTGAACCTACTCTATTTTTTTTGGTTATGGCTTTCATCTTCGACAGCAAAGTCCTTCTCTCCTTGGGCGAAGTCGTGGGTGCTTCCAGTAACTGGACTTACTGGTTCGCCATACTCCATACTGGAAGCAACTTGATAATAAGTGGATGCTGATAATATCTTGGAGCTTGTAAATATTAAATAAAAAATAAGATATATATTAAATTATATTTATTTTATTATTTTAAATTTTATTTAAGGTTTTCTTTTATTATTACTAATTTTAATTATTAAAATAACAAATTTAATTCGTAAATATAAAAAATATATTTATTAGATTTTATTTATATTTATTATGTTATATTTATAAGCTTTTTATTATTAATATTTCTTTTTCTTTTATTTATAATATAACAAATTTGTGACTTTTAAAAATATTTATATATGTAATGATTTTTATTAGATACTAATAAAAAGTTTTCTTTATAGACAGTAATTTTTTTTATTAATGACCCTCTTGGTTGTATAGTCATAACTTCGTGCGCATCCCACACAACCATTAATCGCTGGACCCAAAAGTAAACATAAATATTTTAGAGCGTAGTCGGTGAAATAAACTTGAATGAGATTAACCGGCGCTTTGTAAATACGAATTCTTAAAAGGGAAGTGCTTTAAATGGGTTACTACCACAAGACACAGGATAATTGGAACCGACTCCTCGCACTATAAATGATGGATCAAGAGTATATTGGAAATAGCGACCTTTATCTCGGACAGTTTTATAAGTTATGGTTGCCCTACTAAGTATAGAGTTAGGAGGTCTTCGTATTTGGGGCATACAAGTGGTTAATTGTTATTTTTAACCCATTCTCCCTTTTAAGTAGCATTTAAAAGCTGGCTTTATTTACAGCATATCTTTAGTTAGTCAGTTTTTTCAAAACAATTTACTGCTTGTCTTAATGGCTCTTTCACAGAACTAAGAGGATAAAAAGGTTCTTGATATTATAGCTATAAACTGTTTTTGCGTGTAAGAATTTGTTTATTATGGGGGAAATTTCACTTCGAAGAGCTCCAGTTTAGGTTACGGATAATTCAACAGCTAATTGAAAGTTAGTTATAAAAGTGGCGCTCGCATATAGCAAGTAAGAGTCAATTCGATTAATTATAAACATGTTAATAATATGCTAGCGCAAGAAAAGCAGAAAACTTTTGAATAAACGTATTCGCCGGAGAGATGATAATATGTCGGGTGTAGCACGAAATTACTTAATTTAAAAAGAGTTCTGGTTTAACATTAACTTAATTGTTTATAATTTAACCGCAATAGTTTAATTGTAAGAGCTATGCGAAGGAGAGGCTTAACATTATCACTATTATTTTTTGATTTTTGGCGCGTAGGGCCCTATAAAACAAATCGGTATAGAATAAGAAGAAGGGTTTTTATAAAATTGGTCTGCGCTAGCACCAGAGGTTTAATTTTCTGGTGAGCAGGCTTTTCAACTAACATGTATAACTCGGTGGGATCTGAGATTTTCAAGTAGGCACGTTAATAAATTTCCAAACTAAAGATATGAAGATGGAAAATGTGTTATATGCATGTTTCCTTCCGCCCTCTTCCTATTTGCTTGCATAATACACGTTTTTTTTTTTATTGCTCTTCCAATACAAATATAAAATGAAAACTGTTAACGACAACTTTTGAAAAAACTTTGTTAAATAGAGGTAAAAGGTTAGCGTGAACTATTAAAGCTCATATAAAGGACGCAGTTTTTTTTTCCTCTTTTCTCCCCTTCGCTTAAGTTACCCGTTGTGGGCGGTCTAGGTATTTCCTGTGTATATTTTACACCGAAATGTTTATTAAACTGTATATGTTTTTCTTAGTGTTTAATAATATTTATTATACTTATATAAGTCACGTCCAATACAATGCTGTCAATAAGAAAATTAATTAACAAATACTTCAAAAGTAACAAAGCGGGAGCACACTTGGAACGTGTATTGGTTTGTCCCGCCTATATTAACTTTCCTTTTTTTCCTCTCAACGAAAGTACGTGGAAAAACCTGCCGAAGTATTTTATGGGAGATATTTGTGCCTGTGGGGACCAAAAAAAATAAATATTTGTTAATAAATATAAACAAGTTGAAATAAAGGAATTAATTTTTGTTTTTATGCGCTACTTTGATGCTTGTTCGGATCAGTAATTTTGCAAAAATAAAATGAATATATTTAAACATTTTTCTAGACAATTTTCATATATTTTTTTATCATTACAATGTTTAAAGCGCCTCACTTTGGTGTCAATAATGGCTGTCACACACCCCGCATAACTGAGCTCCTCTATCAGCAGTCGTTAAGTGCGCTTAGATAGGTTAGCTTTTCGTAAAAAGAAACGAAATTGCTTTTGAAGCCAGAAACTTGAAGGTTTTGAAGTAAAAATTTAGCCATAGCTTTACGGACATTAATGGAGACCTCGAAAGAAACGAAGTGAGCTAGAAAAAAAATATTCTCGTTATATTGTCTCTGATTAAGTTATAAATTAAGGTAAGTTTGTAGTTGCGTTGAGTTTGTTATAAAACGTTAAGAAGGGTTAATTATTATCCCACAAACCACGGCATCTCCGTCATAAATGCGAATAGTAACTTGTTTTATACTAGTAAATATACTACAATCGCTGATTGTAAGCGTATAATCAGCTAATTACACAATTCTTATAAACATTTTTTAATCGCTATAACTATATATCGTCATCATTGGGTATAATTAAGGTTCTCGATGGTAGGTATTACTAAAATTTTTATTATTTGCATCTTGCTGTTTGCAGCATTAATTTCAGGCTAAAAAAAAACCAATTTCACATACGTCCCGCAAGGCATGCTGTACACTGAAGACCTTCCAGTAAAACGTACTTAGCTTTTCTCAAAAACACTATAATTATAAATTAAATGTATAATTAAGGTTAACTTTTAGCAATTTATGGCAGAAAGATTAAGCAAGGCCATTACTTAATAAAATTTTGGCTCTCTTATGAAAAATGGGTTCAAGTAAGCAAAATTTGCAGGCGAATTATTTAACATAGCTAACTTTGGGTACGAAAAGATGACTATGGCCTGAAAACTAATTTAATGTATCTTAAAGATACACGACTTATGGGCTTAAAAAAAAGTTTGATACACTATCAGCTTGTAAATTTAGCAATATGCTTTCTATTTTGGTTTCATTGACTTTTCAAAGATATCTATAGTATAGTTAAAAAGGGGTAGGTCGTTATATATGGGAGGAGATTGACCTTACGAGAACTAATAAATAACTATGAATCCCGTATTATAATAACAAGCTACCGAAAGAAAAATAATTGTAATATATAGATTATCCCTAACTTACCTAATTTTTTTTAATATACTATTAAATTTTGTTAGAACTTGATACCTTAAAAAATGATTTCCAGCCCCATTAAGACGGGCGTCCACTTTTCGACGTGAAGGAAAATATAACATATTAAGAGTTCAATTCTCTGGTTTCGATTTCGCCATCCCACAGAAAACTAGATAACTTACCGAAGATGAAAAAATGTGAAAAATAATAATGCCATTGTTGATCATTTAGAAAAATAATGGGGCGTTTAAAGACTTGTTACCTTAATATTTATGATTTTCGCCCCCTGTGGGATTCCACTTTGTGGCGTGGTGAGAGATCGAACAAGTATTTAGTATTAAATTTAAATTAAAACTAAAATGGTGGCGATGTTAATCATTTAAACAGCGTGGTTAAACGAACTGACGCATGTAAAAATAAGATTGGTTTGTACTATCCTAACTCTACTAATTTAATCTTAATACAGCCGACGCTAGCTAAAGATATCTCTTTAGTAGCAAGCTACTGATGTATACCAGTTAGGCGAAAAAGTCATAGTCACGAGTGACTCGCCTTATAAGCTAATAGTAAACTTTTTTCAATTTTTTAGGGAAATTATGGCTTCTTATTTTTGAATTTACCTAGAACAAATTATTTTCGCATCTTGCTTAAGGTACTTTTTATGCGCTAAATCTTTCTGTACTTTAGTGTTAAGCGTATCTCAGAAGACCTAAGGAGTTGCATTTGACGTAGTTACTATTTAGTTTAGTATGTTATATGTCCAACATTTTTGAAGTTGTTTATAGTTATAAGTCAACTAAGTGCTTTAATTAAGGTAAGAATCCAAATCCAGCGTGAAAGTTACTTTATTAAAAAGGAAGAATAGAGAAAAGTTTTTCGTAGTTTTCCACTGGAGATGGTGTAAATAAAAAAAATAAGGCAAGAATTCTTCAGTTTAGGGTTTCCCGATGAAGGGACACATTCACAACAAATCAATCACACCGGAATTCTCGCAAAAGTAGATACTAAAACTAAAAAAAATTGCCTATAATAATAGTAACATATAACAAAAAAAGAGGGTCGAAATAAATAGATTGATGAGAAGTAGAGAGGGTAAAGAGCGGAATAATCGTCAACGCTTAGAGAAGTGCGGAACAAACCCTAAAGAGAAAGAGCTAAACATGAAAAAGCGGGCGGGGGGAAAAAATCTTTTAAACTATCCATGAACAGCAGCAACAACAACACAAACATTACACCGGACGGACGGGCTCCCCCCACTTTCTTCCCCTTCTTTCTCACCTCCCCCGAAATATAAAAAAAATAAATAACAAACAATATCTAAAAACAAAAAAACCTTATATATTAATATCTATCATAAAATAAACACGGGGATAGGCAGGGGATGACAAACATCCATCCATTATCCATTTACCCATACTATAATAAAAATACCACCACCCCAAACTCATTATTATTATCACATACAACAAGCAGCAGCACAAGCCCCCCCCCCGCCCCGCTTAACAACAATTCATTCCTACTGTATGTATGTATGCATGTTATTCATCACACTCGGGAACGTTAACACCAAGTAGTAGTAACAGGGGGAGCAACCCCTACCACCCCTTTTTTTAGCTCCCCTAGCCGTAGAACCCTTTTTATCTTTAAGATTAAAATCGTAAATGCCGGCGAGAACCGGCTCCAAAAATTAGACTCCGCCATGTTTCAGGCGTAGCCTGGGTTTTGGATTTTAGTTTTCAAAAAGCGAATAACCATGCCTCAGTATGAACTTCATCAGCTATGGTACTGCTCCCGCACAAGGATAAAGGGCTGACAGGAAAGTCAGGGGCTATATATACAAAAATTTAATTAAATTTTTCGTCACAAAAAAGCGGGAGATGTCCCTAAACCAAGTACGTGATTTTCTCGTGCTTCTAGTGGAGAACGGATAATTTGTAGATGCTTTGTAAATACATTTTATTAAGCCTTTTTAAATTTTTAAGAGAAATATATTTTTTATGGATAAATTTTATTTTTATTTTTTGCAGAAATTAATACATCTATTTTAGATCTTTTACTTTAAAATATAGTAACAAAGAAATATGGATATCAAGAAATCTTAATAACTATCAAGAATTCTCCAAAATAATAAATACTAAGATAATAATATAATATATAATTTTATTTTACAAGAACTTCCATAATTAAAATTATTTTAAGTTTTACGGAAAACCTGAAGCAGGTCGTAGCTTTGAGCATTGTAACATGAAGTCTTTGAAGTGCAAAAGTTTTGGTTTATTTTTAACGAGGAATTGTTATACATCTTTTTATTGCAAGAACAATATTTGTTTTGTTACTAGAAATTTATATCAACCATCTAACAGCAAATTTTTAAAAATAATCTTTTTTAATCCTACGAAATCTGCAGACTTTAGACTAAATATTTTTCAAGCCCCAAACATTACTTCTATTTTACCTTTTAACATAAATAAGAGATATTATGTTTATAAAAATCAACAATCAAATAAAGATGCGCGTACTTATTATGAAATTCTTGGAGTCTCGCCATCGGCGTCTCCTTTCGAATTAAAACGTGCATACTTTGAAAAAGTTTAGAATTTTAATACATTTCCTATTATTTTTTTATACCTATTTTCCCTCTAAAATAAGATACATTTATATGTAGGCAAAACGGTGCCATCCAGATCGAAATCCAGGAGACAAAACTGCTAGTTTAGAGTTTCAGAAAGTTGCTAATGCTTACGGTTTTACATTTTCTTATATCATTAACAAATTTATTTGTTTATAAATGATTTTTTAATAGAAGTTTTAAAAAATCCAAGTTCTAAAGCAACTTATGATAATTCTCTAAAAAATAATTCTTTTTCTGCTGCATTTAACAAAAATCGCGCTTCAGAAGAATTTCAAAATGCTCATGACTTTGAATTTCAGTACAATTCGGGTATGTAACAATATTATATATCCTCATAAGATTTTTAAAATGTTGTGAAAACTTCTGTAGTACGAATAATTTATTAAATAATAAATATTAAAATTCTGCATTTATTTTTGCTTTGAAATTTATATATAACTCTATATATTTTCTAGGTGTTTATCGAAATGTAGATCCTTATGAACTTTTTAGGAGTATTTGGAAAGATTTGGGCTTTAAAGTTTGTATTTCGTGATTTTATAATTTTTTTTTAATTTTATTGGCTTTTTTTCTTCGTTTAAAAAAACTAAAGTAATTTTTATTATTTTTGAAAGGATATTGAACTATTCGTTAATGATATTAAAAAAGAAGCTTTGTTAGTAGTTAACGCTATTCGCTTGCATAACAACTATGCACCTGCCTGGGAGTTTGCTAAGAAAAGAAAAGGTGATTATATTTCTTAATTTTTATTATTTGTAATCAAGAAAATTTAAAAGAGTTATAAATAAAACCGTAAAAAAGTTAAAATAAATTATATTGTATAATTGAAAAAAAAAATTAATTTTGTAGTTCATCTTTAATTTAATTTTTAACTTTTTACTTTAACTATAATTTTATAATTTATAATGGTTATTATCATTAACTGTAACTTATAAGAAAGTCAAAGGGAACTTTAACCAACTTGCAATTCACTGTAGATAAAATAATTTTTATTAAGAAATTGAAGAAACTAAATTAAAGATGAACACAAAAATTATTAACAAAAGATTAATTTCTTATATAATCTATGATTTTATTTATTTTTTTTAATTTGTTACTTCAGTTTATATTAAAGTCATCCAAAATTATATATTAACTAAAATTTTTGTAAATGGTAAAATTTTATTTAAGAAATTAAAAAAATTGATTTAAAGATGAGCACAAAATATTTTGACAAAAATATAATTTTTTTTAAAATTTATTTATTAAAAATATTTAATTAACTTTTGCAGTTGTGTTATGAAATTTTATTAATATAATTAACTTGAATTTGTAGTAAAGGCTACAAAATTTTTAAACAACTAATAATTTACTGTTAACAAAATTATATTACAAAATTAAAAATTGATTTCAAGATGAACTTAAAAAAATAAAAAAATAAAAATTTTCAGTTTTATTATGAAACTTTTATAAATCAATAATTTTAATATATATAAAACTTAACTTACCAAACTTTTTCTCAACGATTACTATACTGTAAATAAAACTTTTGTTACATAATTAGAAAATTTTGATGTACATTAAAAGTGTTTCACAAAAATATATTTTTTAAAACTTTTATTTAATAAAAATCAAAATTTTTTAGTTTTATTATGGAACTTTATTAATTCCTTTAAATTTATTTTATAATAAAGTCTACAAAACTTTAAATAACTAATAATTTTCCGTTAATGAAATTTATATTATATTTAAAAAATATAAATTTTAGATGAACTCTAAAAATATTGAAAAAAGATTTTTTAATTTTTATTTAATTAAAGTTAATTTAATAAACTTTTTTAGTTTTATTATGTAACTTTTTTAATCTAATTAGTTTTAAGTTATATAAGCCTACAAAACTTTTCATTAACTATTAATTTTACTGAAATGATAAATTTTTTCACCATTAAATAACTAATTCAAGATGAACTTTAAAATTTTAATTTTTATTTTTTTTTTAATTTTTTATTCAATAAAAATTAATTAAATTAACTTTTTCATGTTTGTTGTGAAACTTTTTTCGATTTATTATTATTAATCTATAATAAAGCCTAAAAAACTTTTTCTCAAAATAATTTTATAAAATAAAATTATAAAAATTGGATTTCAGAAAAATTATTTTATAAGACAAAGACTTTAAATATTAAAGTTAATTTTATTTAAATTTTTTATTTAATAAAATTAATTAAATTAACTTTTGCAGTTTTATTATGACCCTTCTATACTGTTATTATTTTTAATACGTAATAAAGCTTACAAAACTTTTTATTAACTAATAAAATTATAATTTTTATTTTAAAAAAATTGGTTATAAGATGAACACCAAAAATACTGACAAAATATTTTTTATAAAAAATTTATTAAACTATAAATTTGATTGACTTTATTAGTTTTATATAAAAGTTTTTCATTGATTACTTTAATTTATATAAAAGTCAGCAGAAATTTTTTTTATTGAACAGGTTACAGAAAATAAACTTAAAGTTGAAGATTCTAAAGAAATTTATTTTAAGTTGAACGCAAAAAATAATAATATAATTTTTTTAAAAATTTGGATTTATTTAATTAAATTTTTTTTTGAGAATTTTTAAATCATTCAACTTTAAATTATAATAAATCGACAGAAGTTTAAGTAATTAAAGGTTCACTGGAATATTGATTTCAAGATGAACACTAAAAATATTAATTTAATAATTTTTTTAAATTTATAAAGTAAATTGTTAATTATTAACTATTTTTAGTTTTATTAATAAATTTTTTTTAATTTAATTAATTTTTGTTTTATAATAAATCAACAGAAAATTTCAGTTTTCCTTAATTATTTTTATACTTCTTCACTACTTTCCAGCTTTTATCATTGACACTCATTCACCACGTGGCTAGGCTTGGTCTTTGGAATTCTTCTTCCGTTGGCCGCTTTTTTTCGATTCCCAGCACTTTTTACTTTTGCATTTCGCATTATGACTGCCGCGCCGTTAATTTTTGTGCAACATTTAATTCGCACTAATCCCAAAGTTATTATAATTTATTATATGTTCAACTTTTTTTGTCAATAATTATAAAATCATTACCTGATGTTGTTGATGTATAATTTTAAAAAAAATTTTATTTGCTAGGGGATTAATATTAGTACAGCACTACAAGAAAACAGCTGTGGTCAATTATTTGAAAATAAAATTTTAAAAGAATTTCTCTAAAGCGCTTCAACAATTTTTATTATATATAGTAAAGATTGTGTGTCACTCATTTCGAAGGAAATTTTGTTTGTTTGCGTTTTTATTTGCTTGAAAAGTTTTTTAATTAAAATTTTTAATGTTATTAATTTTAAGAGAGAAATTTATAAAGGAAAGACTATTGGTTTCTTTCATTTTCCGGAGAAATCATAATTTATGCAATTACATTCTAGAAAAACTCGCCACAAAATTTGTTATACATTTAATTTTATAGAATAGCTACTAAGCGAAAGCTCACTTACTTAAAAAAATCTTTTCAGCAAGTTTACATTTAATAACTTTGAAGAGTTATATAAATTTTAAATTGTGTATAAATTAATATCTCTATTAATTTAAAGTTTACTATATTTTTAGTGAGAAATTATAAATAATATTTTATAGTTTTGTATTATTAATATCTTATTACTTGCAAAAAAAAATTTATAATTTTTTAAAAAGTAATTATAATTTTTAATTCCCCAGATGTTTAGTTATTATTTAATTTTTATGTTTATATTTATAGACAATATATTTCTATTTTTGTTGAAAGAAAATTAAATTTTTAATTTTTTTTTTAATTATAAAAGTTTTTATTATGTATAAATTTTTTCTAATATTTTTTTGTAGGCCGCTTGGACACTTTTTCATTCAGTTTGGTTTAAAATTGTTCGAAATTTGGATGAAAAAAATAAAAGGAAGAAATAGTTAATGTTTTGAGTTATATTTTGCGCGTTCATTCATGGTTGGGCTGTTGCCCTTTTTTGTAACGCAGGTGCGAAATTATCTAGTGCGAAGGGTAGTACGTGGAATAATTTTTTGTATTAATTTTGTTGTGTAGTATCGATAAAAAAGTATTTCTTGCTTTATAAGAAAAAAAAATAAACAAATATAAACATATAAAATATAAGCAATATAATAATATATAAAGCAATCAGTAAGTATATGTACAAAGGAAGGAACTGGAAATTTTAATGAATTAGTTTCAAATTTTATCTTTATAACTGTTCTGTGCAACTTTCGCTAGACATTCACTTAAAGTCCTTGACAGCTCAAAATCTCAGTTGAGTTTGAGTACGGTTTTAGGAAAGCAGAGAAGAATTTTTTTTCTCACGACATTAATTATGCAATATGTGCTAAACTTGTTGACCAGTTAAAAAATAATCTGTAGGTCTTATAGTTGACGAAGGGGCCTACCCTCATTACACTAGGTCCAGTAACTTAACTGTGAATATGAAAGGTGAGAAGTTTACCATTAAAACAATTTATAAAAATCTTAAACCCTGTTAGATCGTTTATCTTAAAGTTCTATCTAAGGTAAAGCGATCTATAACCCCAGCTTTAGACATCTAATTTTCTATAGGCAAACTCGATGAAAATAATTATACTACATCGTTTGGTAAAAGAAGGGTTATTGTCGAAAAAGGAGGTCAATTAATAGCACAAAGAAGGATGGTTAACGGGGTCTACGTATTAAATAATGATAAAAATATTGCTCACAACACAAGAATAATGAAACATGAAGTAAATGAGCCACCAATAGGACACTGTCAATGTAGACATGGCAGTTACAAATATCATCTCCGCCTCAATCCTCATATATAACACCGTTTACCACTTATCTATCTTTGTATGGTGGGTAAAAAAATAAAGAGCAAAAGGTGACAAAGCTAAAGACTCTCATCAAAATTGAAGGGCAGGTGGATTACTTTACATTGATATATTACAGTGGAACATAACTTCATATGATGGATACCTATTTGTAATTTTAGGCACTAATGCTAAATCGAAGTATGTAACAACCCTATTTTTTAAAGGTAAAGGCGGTATTAAAGAAGAAATTGTTAACTGGCCTAAAAATTTTGAAGAATGCCAAACTTAATAACAATACACTAACCGCCATGTAATTCAAGAAATTCGCACAGATAAGGGGTCTGAATATGTTAACAGGACTTTTAGGGTGCATTAAACAATTAAGGTATACACCTGCCCACGACAACTACAAATTCTCTTCACCACGTGATGAGTGAAAGGACAATACAATAACTTTATAACCTGACTCAATAGATTGATGCAATTTTTTTTGTGATGCTACATTTATAATAAATTATTTTTCTAAGAAAGGAAAAATAAAAACCCCTAATGGTATATATGGCGCAAAGTGTATCGATCTAAAACATTAGAAACCATTAGGTTTTAAAACCGTATGATTCAAATTTTAAAGCAAATCTCACGACCGCGCGTTAAAAGGGATAATGCTTGTAAAACCTACATGTTAGGATATTTAAACCTATACTGACGGGTATCTAAATTTTTAAACCCTTTAAAATTAATTGTAAACAAATTTATATATATACAGAAATGTACAGACGTGACTAAAACAAAAAAAACACTAAAAAAAATTAACACGACTGCCGGTTTATTTTTCGTGAACCTTCATTATATACTAACAACTAAGCAATGAAATAACCTAAATAATAATCATAAAAATTATCTAAAAATGGTAATTTGTGTTAAAACTTATGAACTGGGATCTTTTCCTCAACACTACAGACTCTATTGCAGATGAATACAGAATATTTAACATAAAAACTGGTAAAATGATAGGATCTAGAAGCTTTTAAAATATATTTCCTTTTCAAAATACCTTAAGTATAACCACCGACCTACCGCTACAACATATTACGCTCCAACTATAAAAGGCTTCGACATATCGAATGAAAAAATTCTGGTCAACTACCCACTCAGAGGGCCCTTAATAAAATTCAAGTAGACCAAGAGAAAAACAGTAAAAACAAATGATAAAGCAACAATTAACAATGTGTAGGATGTAAGAGAGACTCCTGTTTAAGACAAAGATAAGAAAGAACGCACGGAACCCTCAATTTATAAAAAACAAAATTAACCTAACCCATACAATAATTATTCTTATAATATACGATGCTAAAAAAAGTGACCTTGTAGGGGAAAAGATCCCAGTTCATAAGTTTTAACACAAATTACCATTTTTAGATAATTTTTATGATTATTATTTAGGTTATTTCATTGCTTAGTTGTTAGTATATAATGAAGGTTCACGAAAAATAAACCGGCAGTCGTGTTAATTTTTTTTAGTGTTTTTTTTGTTTTAGTCACGTCTGTACATTTCTGTATATATATAAATTTGTTTACAATTAATTTTAAAGGGTTTAAAAATTTAGATACCCGTCAGTATAGGTTTAAATACCCTAACAGACCTGTGCACCACTAAATAAATCCAATGTACTTACTGCAACACAAGAAAACATAACCCTTAAACTACCTTTTAATGCTAACAGCTTAAAAAGACCTAGAAATCTCTTGAAATGAATGAAAATTCCCCTTACTTAAAACCTTTATAGCAATAGCACATCAAACAAGTAATTATATCCTCTACTTAATATGGAGAAAAAAAGAAGTACATAAACAAGAGAACATGGACTCTTAATCTTACTGAAACATGATAACAAAGTGATTAATCAAAAAAATGACATAGAATTATGTAAAGAAAAAAAATAAATCTCACTTAATAACCCTGATAAAAGAAGATCTTATGACTAAGATATCACTGAAGATTTAAATAATAGAAAGACAAAAAACCACCAGGAGGCTTTAATCAGCAAAAAATGTAACTACTTTTACTTTTACGACATAATAGTTTTGAATTAAAAAATATTATGATTAACCATCTGATGAAATAATAATAACTACCATCTGGTCATTACACTTAAAGAAAAACAATAATTATAGAGCTAGGTTAACAGCACGTGGTTTCAACAAGGGGTATAGATTTTATCAAGAGGCTTTTTCACCAGTAATACCTAAGGATAATTCAGGCTACTTCTGACTTTATCAATAATTAATAATATGCCAGGTCGAGTGGCTCACATAACCACAGATTTCTTACACATGAGTTTTGCAAAAACTTATATATGATCTTATTTTACAAGGGGTATATCTCCTAAAATATCATCTTTATTTTCGACAGAAAGGTCCTCGGAAAGTCACTATAAATCAATATGGCGCTATGGTCTAAAAGAGTCCACTAGATTACTACATCGAAATTTGACTAAAAACCTACTAAAGCACGGATATATGCAAAGCAAATTTAATCACTGTGTTTTTTAGAGTAAAAATTATGGTTAATGATTGCATAATGGAAATGCAGAAACATTTTTAAAAATAATGCAGAATATATATGATAAAATTTGATGAGCTTATAAGTAGATTTCTAGGAAGATACATCTTATAAAAAAAAAATGCTTTGATAACTATGAGCCAGAAGAGTTTAGTTGAGGAGTTGGTATTAGAATTTCATATAAACACGAATAAACGCATGTGGCACCTTTGCCTGCACACCTGAGTTAAGAACAGTAGATGCGGAAATACACAAAAATGTTAATGAAAAATATTATAGTATAATGGGTTCTTTACGTAACATAGTTGATAGCACTAGGCTACGCAACCCTTACGCTACTACTCTTCAAAGCAAATTTCTACACAACAAGAGTTCATATGAAAACGACCAAGTAGTTTTAGTCTATCTATACCAAACCAGAAACTTGCAGTTCACTTTTTTCAACTGGTTAACCGAGGAATAGACTAATAATAGAATGCTACTTGGATTCCTCATGGGCTGACAACTTAGATAGGAGGTCTGCAATGGGATGTATAATATTTATTAACGGTAGGAAGTCCTATACATTGGCGCTCAAATATTGATAAAAGCGACATACCAAAGTCTTAATGTGGAGCCGAATACATAGCACTCAATAAGCGGTATATACCATTGCTATAGAAAATTATATATCAGGACCTTTTACCTATAAAAAAGTAATAATACAATTTTACACGGATAATAAGGCTGTTGAAATATTATGACTGGTAAAGCCTGAAATAAAGGGCAAGAGTACAACATGTTGATATTGCTTCCCACTACGTCATTTTAGGATTACAAAGAGAGAATTACTTTGTAAGACTTGTAAAGGCCAAAGAAATTGTAGCAGACATCTTAACTTAAACTTCATCCATTTTAAAAGCATAAATCTTTGCTTGATGTAATATTTAATAAGACATAACAATGTAAGATTATAACAAAAATAGCATGCTACTTTTTTTTAATGTTTCCGAACATTTTAATTTTCTTTCTCTTCAAATTAAACTACATGTAAATAGGAATGTCACGCACCATAAATAATCAGTCCTCGTTTTATTTTTTCAATATTTTATTTTTTTGTTGTTTGTTTGTTACCCTTTACCCTAATTCTGTCAATAAGAAAGTTAAATTTTTATAAAACTATAAATTATTGTGTAATATATAGTAAGGGTAATAATTGAGATGTAATAATATAATTGAATACATGTTTTTTAATTGTACTGATTAGTTAACTTTAAATTCTTTTTTTTATTCATGTTGTTACTTAGATAATTAAATATTTTACAAAATGATATGATCTAGAACTGAGTTTTACGAAGTTTGTCTTCCAATAGAATTAGTTATAAACAAGAGATACTTTTGATAACGTTATACTTGTGTATTAAAAAATTTTGGGTATCCAACCTCATTTATATTGAATTATTAAAAAGAACAGATCTTTATTAGCTTATATAGTCATACTTTAAAAAGGTTATTACCTTCTTCTCTCTTTTAAAATAATACTTGTATTCGAAGTAATTTTCTAGTT